ACACTACTGAATCTGTCCCAAGTAGGCTTTTTTAAGGGCTTCTGAGGACTTCTAAAGAAAAGAGCCCCTCCTTGAAGTGTCTGCTCAATCACCTTATCAGAAGGTCTTTCCTGACCACCCTATAAATACAGCAACCACGCGCATTCTCCCACCCTCTACCTCCTTACTCTGCATTAACATTTTCATGGTATTCATCACCACTTGACATTTACATCTTTAGTTTCTACTGTCCATCTCCTCCCAACTAGATTATAAGCCCTGTGAAAGCAGATATTTTATCTGTTTTGTTCCCTGATGTGTCCAGAGCCCAGAACAGTAACCAGCAAATAAGAGCCTCCATAAGTAAAAAAATTAATTCATTGACTAATGACGAACGAGAGAGTACATTTTGTGGCAGAGAAGAGAGTGGGTTGTGCAGAGAAAAACTAAACTCACAGATTGGATATTATTTTCAAGAGCCTGATAACTATAAATCTTATTAATAATGGTATTTTTAAAGATACATATTTAAAGGGAGAGCAACCAGGCAAAAGGAACAGGGAATAAAAAACACTTTAGGGTTTTCAAAGATTAAAGATTTATAAGAAAGTATGTCCTTTCTTCTCATCTTTTAATCCCTCTACTAAATTTTAAAACATACCCCAAAATGAAATCTACATCCACGAAAATCCCAGTTTTTATATTCCCCAAATCGAGAAATACAGTAAATCTACATTTTCTATTCATTATGGAGGTTACATACTAATACATTCTATTATTCTTTTGATCACTAAAAATTCCTAACTTTGATAAATCAAAGGCAATCCTTTCCTCCTCCTCCTCCTCCCCTCTGCCCTGCTCTCCCTCCCCCGCCCCACCCCCACAAAAGCCCCCTAATACACAGTTGTATATTCTAGTTGTACGTCCTTCTGGTTGTGCTATATGAGATGCCGCCTCAGCATGGCTTGATGAGTGGTGCCATGTCCGCGCCCAGGATCCAAACTGGCAAAACCCTGGGCCGCCAAAGCAGAGCATGCAAACTTAACCACTCGGCCACAGGGCCAGCCCCTCAAAGGCAATCCTTGATACCTAAATTATCTGAAAACCAGAAGATGGCTGCCATTCTCTAAATACTATAAAAGTTTCTAAATGGTATGTTGAATCTAATCTAAATGAACCTCATATTAGAGTAAACTGAAGATTTCTGCTGCAAACACCAAATTCTGCAGATTCATTAGTATTTCTGTATTAGAAAAAAGGTAAAACAAACACAAAAGCAAAATTATGAAGCAAACACAACATATGGCACGGGAGATAATGCTCCTAGCTATGCTATGCCATGACATGAATATTTGGCTAAAAGGAATAATAAGACTGAAACAGAAGACAATGAACAATTCTTTCAAGAGTCTGAAAACAGACTAATATCAGAATTCTATCAGCCTACATTACTAAATATTTTAAACATCATGCCAAAGAAAAACTGTTCATTATGAATTTAAATAGAAACTCTAATATTCTCAACCACATTCAGTTCCTGGGCTAATCTAAACCCATCTACATACTTACAAAAGGACATTCATTCCTAGTTCTAGTTTTATAGATTTTTTTCTTTCAACTGACCTATAAAGACTATCCAGAACCACTAGGTGATGACTTTCCTGAAGTGTCACCTTCATTAGGCTACAGTGCCCAGTCACTTAAAGACTAATCTAGACGTTGCTATGAAGGTATTTTGCAGATATAATTAAAGCCTTTAATCCATTTAAGCAAAGGAGATTATCCTAGATAATCAAAGTGGGCATAACTGAATCCTCGGGAAGACTGTAACAGTGGGGCTGAGGTTTCCCTAGCAAAGAAAAGAAATTCTTCTATGGACCAGTTTTGGCCTGTGGCTGCAGGAGTTCTAACCTACTAGTGATCTCTTCTTGACAGCCTGCCATACAGATTTCAGACTTGCTTAGCCAGACCCCACAATCATGCAAGACAATTCCTTGCAATAAATCCCTTTATATATATATATACATCATCTACTGGTTCTGCCACTCTGGTTGAACTTTCACTGATATACACTACAGTATTGAATATGATTTTAGAAGTAATACTTATTAAACTTAATTGGAGAAAATGTTTTACATCTGCAGATGTATGGGTGAGCATACATAATCCTCTTTCCAAAATTGCAGTAGGTGAAGTCAGTGGTACAACACTAAATCATCTCCGAACAGAAACTACTGTTGTTCTTTAAGAGCAATGTAAGGGACTATTCATTTTCCTCAAGACCACAAAGAATAGGTTTAGGAATCCTTGATGATTTATCTAAATCTGTTAATACTGGAGATCCTTACATAAGAAGTACTAAGAAACTTTAAAAGAACACTAAGACTTTCCTTTAGTTCAACGATTCTAACAGTCTGCTTTTATTTTTGCACTTAGAAGGCTGCTGAACACCCTTCAGAAATGAGTTGTACGTCCTGAATGACAGTGGGCCTAGTTGCAATAGTCAAGGGGCTACCACTTCAAGGGCATTCAAGCATAAAACAACCACATAAAAGACAGGCTGGAACAAAGACTAAGACAATTTTACACAACAACAGAATCTTACCAGAGAACACACACGTTGCCCACAAGCAATGTACCTAAGAGGTACAGTTCAACCTAACACATAAACAGCTGTTCTTTAATTCTGATCAAGCAAAATGCCCAGCAAGGCCCAGCAGTAGCAATCCAGTCTAGTACAGAACCGTGGCCTTACATAACACTCACTTTCCCAGGAAGTCCCAAACAAACCCCTGACAGTGCAGGGACAGAACCTGGTGTGGAAGGTACAAATTGCGGAAGACCAGCATTCAGAGACAGAATATGGCCAAGAGGAGACACACATACGAACACACAGACATGAAGCCCCAATAGAACAGGACCGTGATAAGACAAATCAAAAGAAAGGTGAAGAAATTCAAACAGTATATTACAGGAAGACACCCACACACAGGAAATAGTGGAATGGCACCATAAGAAGCAAACGGTTAGTAAGAAACACAGCAGCCACACACAATGCACTTCAGTACTAAATCTGGGAACAAAAGGTATAATATAATCCCAACTATTTTTGACTATTTATTCTAATTTTAAATTATGTTGCTCAGTAACAAATTATAAAGCCAGTAGCAAAAATTGAGTTTTAAAAACTTTCTTTTTTTAGTAACCAAGAAACTTTGCGACAAATTCTAAAACAAAATGACAACTGCTGCATGACCAGAGGACAAACCTGTATAGTGCGTTTTCAACTTTATAAATTATATTCTGTGGAGAGAGTATATCATTTAGAACTCTTTCTCAAAATATGAAAAATATAGTGGCTAATAAAAGCTATGTGGTTGCTCTGGATATCAAACATAGATTTAATCCTATTTCTTACTCTCATTCAAATCATGTCCATTTCCCAAAATCAGTATTAGGTCCAAAAATGAATCAAGATGTTTTTCAAGCAAGCTGCCTGGAATAGCAAAGCAATAATTTCAATGTAGATTTCTAATACAAGAACTTAAACTGAAAAATGAAACTTTATCAAGGAATTTCTTTTTTGAAATATTGAAATATATTTAGTGGGAAGTCACTAATCCATCAAAAGTATTGTATTTTAAAATCTATACACTACTGTTGCTGATTTCAGGCCAAGACAAAAGCAAAGAGAGGTGCATATTCATGCAAGTGTGTGTGTGTGCGCGCGCGCGTGTGTGTGTGTGTGTGTGTGTGTTGAGGGGGGAAGATACAGTGCAAACATGGACAAAAGCATAAAAAAATGCACAAAATCTAATCTTGAGATTCGGGTAATTTGTTAATTTTGACTTAAAGAACTTTATCTGTTTGTCTTATCCAGAACCAGAAAATATAAATAGAGTTAATAATCAAAATAAGAGGAAATGAGTGAGTAAGTAATCAGCCTACAGTGTGAAAGTTATTCACACTTTCAGTATAGTGAAGGAGAATTGTGAGGGTTGGACTTCATTGTTTTAGTTTCTTGAAAATCAAATTTCTACGGATACAGAATAGAAGAAAAAAATAACTTCTGGGGAAAATATCAAGTCTTAAATTGAAGTAACCCAAAAATTTAAAACTTAATAAACTTATGAAAGGAGTCAAATACTTCCCACCCTTCAAGAGCATGAAAATAAAATATTCCTAAGAATCAGGCTCCAAGGAGCCACACAGATTAGGGGCTTCATCCTGTCGCTGACAGTCCGACTGTTCAGAAGACCGTGGGTGATTAACCAAGTCCCACCGGAAGAACTGTTTCCATGCACCCGTGAATTTATTTTAAATATACGGTGTAAAAGAAGAGGTCAAGAGGAATACGCTTAATCTTTAGTATGAAACACCCTAATTTTTAAAAAAAGACAAAGAAAATTCCAAGAGAGCTGTCTGACTGGATCTGTTCACTCAGCTCATTTTGAAGAATTCAAAGTCAGAGCTCCACAAAAATCAAATCCAGGTCTCCTACACTGTCCTCAAGATGCACCCCCTTCTTCTAACTCTGACCTATGCCCTGATGTAATCGCCTGCTTCTCCACAACACAAATGGTGAAGTCTAACAATTCATAACCCAAAGGAGTATCAGCTCAACAAAAAAGGTCTAAACCTATGAGAAAATATTAATTCCTTGAACTTGAGGCTCATTTGCTCCTTAGATAGATAAATAAATAACTAAAGACCAAGTAGCTTTTGTACTCTCTTGATTAGCTGGTAGAAAACTTTAGTTTCTTAATCAAGAAATACTTTCTCTCTTTTCAATCAATGATGCTGAAGTCCATAGCTTCCCAATTTATTCCCATTCTGTGCTGCCTTTTAGAGACTGCAACAGTGAATTTAAACTGACTCAGAATAAAAAGGAGATGCACTCAAGGAGAAGCACTCAAGAATCTAAATTCAGATTTAAAAAGTCTGCCGCAGAAATACATAGTTTATAAGCATACTTTAATATTTCTAACATAGTGAGTCCCTGTTCACTTCCCTTTTCTTACCTTTCCAACTCGGCAATCTTCTTATCTTTGTCATTCTTCTCATTTTCCACCTCCTTCAAGATTTCCAAGAGGCGGTCAACTTCTGCCTGGGCCTTGCTAGATTCATCTTTGTACCTGGCAATCTCTTTCTCCAATTGCTGTATTCGGTCACTCATCTCTGGGCTGGCTCTGGCTTCCAATGTTGCCTCATGTGCCTACAAAGAAAAGTGTTCAAATTCTATTAGATAAACACAATGGCAGAAGGCAAACTATGTCCCAAAGAACTTCTATATTCCAATTTAAATAGAGTATTATCAAATATCTAATAGCTAGTCTTCAATTTATAAGGGTTTTCTCTGCTTAAATATTACATAGACAAAATATTAGTAATAAATGAACAAATAATTATCTTAGATTCTGAATGAATTAGTTATTTTAAAAGAATACATCCCTGAATATTTATCAGGCCAAAAATCATCATAAGCCAAGACACTGTTCAGAGTCTAGTGAGCTGTACTAAGAAGCCAGACTACTACTGATCTCTCCAAAATAATATCAAAAGGCATCACCAGAGATTCCCGCTGATCTTACCATAGCCAGTACCAATGCTGAGATCTAATTTCCACTTGATGCTCACTTCCCTTCCCTTCTCATATATACTGCTTTACCAAGCACTTACAAATCATATGGCCTTGAGCATTGAGAAACATATACAGTCATGTATCACTCAATAACAGGGATACATTCTGAGAAAGTTGTCATCAGGAGGTTTTTGTCATTGTGTGAACATGATAGAATGTACTTACAAGAACCTAGATCATATAGCCTACTACACACCTATGTTATATGGTACTAATCTTATGGGGCCACTGTTGTATATGCGGTCTGTCAACCAAAACATCAGTACGCAGCAGCAAGTGTGATGTCATCAGAAATGGAGTTAGGTTGGGGCCAGCCCAGTGGCATGGTGGTTAAGTTCGTGTACTCCACTTTGGCAGCCCAGGGTTCGCAGGTTTGGATCCAGGGCATGGACTTAGCAGTGCTCGTCAAACCACGTTGTGGTGGCATCCCATATAAAATAGAGGAAGATTAGCACAGATGTTAGCTCAGCAACAATCTTCCGCAAGCAAAAAGAGGAAGACTGGCAACAGATGTTAGCTCAGGGCCAATCTTCCTCACAAAAAATAGTTAAGAATTAAAAAATAATTTTAAACATGGAGTTAGGTTAAGAAGATGGCTATCACCACATCAGTAACTTGCTAATGCAAGGATTCAGGATCTTTCAAGATAACAGGAGACAAAGTCAGAAATCAACGATTACATTTAGAACTGAGAAAAGGTCTTTTATTCAGGATCCTGTTGCAATAGCAACTAGGACCTTCAACGCATCTTGGAATATAAAGCAGTTTCAATAATTAAAAACTAATTTTCAAGTCTTCAATTTTTCTCCTGAATCTCTAAAACCATGCACATATAATGTATTTAATGAGAAGGTAAAGGCTAAGATGTTTTCTTGTCCCTTTTTCAATAGACAACAAAACATACTTAGTCCCCTAAAATGGTTTGAAAAAATATTAAAGGGATAAATACACATTCTTAAGAAATACTTCAGAAAGCTCTAAGGCAAAATACCTTGAGGAAAAGACAAATGTTTCTATAACCTGGGCTAAATATTTTGTCAAAGCAACAGCTGTACTTTTAAGATTAAGTCCTTTACCCAATATCTTTTGTTACAGGTTTAATCACTTGTGAAAATCCACAATTACTAACAGAGGCCTTTAAAGGAGACTCTACTGGCAGACATGTATTTTAATATGTTAGCAAAATTCTACCCTAAACTGGTATAGTTAAAAGCCAAAACAAAGTAAAAGCAAGGGGGAAAGAGAGGCAGCCCTAAATGAATTAAGTCACTAAGCATAAAACAAAGCAAAAGCAGCAGAAATGTGGACATTTCCCAAAGTTTGGGGGAGAATTTTGGTCTCACAGAAACTTTTCCACTTTGTAGCCACCTCAGTATACTTTAAAAAGGAGTCATTTAAAAAAACAGAACAAAAAAAACCACTCGAGTTCCTACTTGAGGAAAGGAGAGATGAGAAGGTCAAGTGTATTCACTTTCTACAGGACAGTAAAAAAAGCATCACTCGTGCAAAATACAGAAAAAACATCAGCTAGGACTTTATGGCGTCACTTTGTCAGGTCACCTACTGACTTGGATGGGTGGTTTAACACTATTTCAGGATGCTGAAGGGGAGAAGACTCAGGGGAGAAGAACAAAGAAAAGCAGAAGGAAACGGTATGAGAAGAGAACAAGGAAGAAAACAAAAAGCAAAAGGTTAAGAAATATAGTTTAAAAAAAACTCCAATAAAAAAATTCAGAGTCTATTTCTCCCCAGGGGGAAAAAAGAAAGAATTTATTAGCATTTTAAAAAATTCTGATAATACAGGGCCAGCCCTGGTGGACTAGCGTTAAGTTCGGTGTGCTCCACTTCTGCAACCTGGGTTCGGTTCCTGGGCACAGACCCACACTGCTCTGTTAGTGGCCATGCTGCCCACATACTGAAAAATAGAGGAAGATTGGCACAGATGTTAGCTGAGGGTGAATCTCACTCAGCAGGGAAAAACAAATCAGATAATACAAAAGTTGAATTTCAATGCTTCCCTTAGTAATTCTGAGGTTATTATCTCATGCTGAAGACACAAAACCAAAATTCAGGTATAGGGGATGAATTTTTAAGCTATAAATAGGTCAAAAATGACTTCAATTTGTCATTATCTCTAGACCAGTCATTTCCTACTCCAAACATAATAGAGAAGAAATTTGCTTTGAAAATTTCAATGATAAACACAGCCTTTTGAATAAATATACATTAGAACACCAACCTTACATGAGTTATGGTTTTCAGCAAGAAGAAAATATGCCAAAGATTATTTCAGGTAAACCCATAAATAAGCTATAAAGCAAAAAAGACTGCTAATACAGAAGACAAAGATAACAAAATTCTAGACCTAATAGGCTCCCAAGAAGAATTAAAATTATAGCAAAAAAAAGCCATCTGACAATACTTACTGCGCTATTTTTTTAATTGAGATATAATTGACATATACATTATATTAGTTTCAGGTATATGACATAATGATTTGATATTTGTATATATTTCAAAATAATGACCACAATAACTCTAGTTAACATCCACTACCAGTTACAAATGTTTTTTTCTTGTCATGAGAACTTCTAAGACCTAGTCTCTTAGCAACTTTCAAGTATACAACACAGTATTGTTAAGTATAGTCACCATGCTGTACAGCGCATCTCCAACTTATCTGTAACTGGAAATTTGTACCTTTTGACCACCTTCACCCATTTCACCCCCACCTCTGTCAACCACCAATCTGTTCTTTGTATTTATGAGTTCAGATTTGGTTTTGTTTTTTACATGCCATGTCTATGTGAGATTATACAGTATTTGTCTATCTGTATCTGACTTATGTCACTATCCTGCTTTTAAAAGGTAATAATGCTAAGGAATTACTTATCTACTAGAAGGAGATAAAATCTGAAATACAATAATTACTGATTGTTCTGAGTCTTACATTTTATTACTTAACTCTTATCTCAATCTTATATTAGGAAATATGCTCTCATTTATTCTAAGACATTTTTTTAAGTCAAAGTGTATTTCTTTTCAATAGAGGCAATTTCCAAGATAAATTCATAAGAGTTTAACGCACTTAGATAATATGATAAAATACTCAAGTTCATTTCACATCTAGCAGAACTAAGAAAGCTGTACAAGACATACATATTGTTAATTAAGACCTCTGTGATTTCCTCTCAAATTCCTGGGGTTAGGTAATTTATTAATTCTATAAATGTGTTAATTAATAAAATTAAATCTGACTCCCAAAAATAAGCAAAAAATTGGGTTTTTATTTTATTCCTATTTTAGATTTTATTCTCAATGGCAAAATTCACATAATTATCTTCATAAAATAAGAATGAGTAGGTCTGTTCCACATGTAAAACTACTGTAACTTCAGCTCCAACATGTAAAAAGCTACCATCCTTACAACAAGAAAAAGTTGAAAAACTGAAAATCAATGACTTTTCTTGATTTATCAGAGAAGTGAGGTCATAGGACAAACTACCACTCCAGGACACATAGGCAAATACAGAGAGTTGAAATTGAGATCTGCTTACCTGGAACAAAAGCCATTAGGAGAAAACACTTAAATGGCAACTTTGAGGGACTGCTGGAGGCTGAGTGCAGATGAGCAAGAGGGGGAGAAAGTCCTAGGGCTGCAGTTTGAGGGTAGCCCCACACACGTTCACAGGCTTTACCTCCAGAAACCCTACCAGTTTCTCACAGTGAAGAGCTGACAAAAATCCCCCTGTGGTTCTAGCACGGGGAGAGAAAGAGCAACAACTGTGACCAAAGCGTACTCTATCCAAAGACTGATTCTCTAGGAGCGAAGAATTTAACAGAACTGTATCCCACTTGGGGGAAGAGTATTTCTCCCACTCTAGGCCCCTCTAGCTAAGGGGGAAAAGAAGCTGAGAAACCTTTGTGAAGATCACAGCCAGGAACACAGGCTCATAAAAGATTGAGACAATCAAAAGATTATGGAACACTTACTGTCCCCCACACCAACTGGGCTCAGTGTAATAACAGTGGATCACAGCTGAAAGAGCCGCAAAACACAGACTCTCTATGGAGAGAGAAGCCGAGGTCAACAGAGGAGCCAAGGACAATAGAGGAATTTGAAGCCTCTGGCACCTACAGCTACAGCAAACATTAAATACAGCTCACCTTCTAGCCAAATTAAACCTCACGCATAGGCCTATGACTTCAGTTCCTACTATATGATACACCATGTCTGGCTTTCACAAAGGAATTATATGACATGCTAAAACGCAAGAAAAAATGCAGCCTGAAGACATACAGCAAGCATCGGATATTTGACAAAGATGTTGGAATTATCAGACAGGGAATTTTAAATACCTATGATTAATTGTTAAGAGCTCTAATGGAAAAAGTAGAAAACATCCAAGAATAGATGGGTAATATAACCAGAGAGGTGGACATTCTAAGAAAGAATCAAAAGGAAATGCTAAGTTTAAAAACGCAGAAGAGACATGAATGCCTCTGATGGGCTATTCAGTAGACTGGAACTGGCTGAAGAAAGAATCAGTAAACATGAAGATATGTCCATAGAA